ATCAATCGAATGATTTTATATAATTTTAATTATAAAGAAAAGTGCAAATTCTAAAGGATTCACACAAATATTGCGCTCATTTTTCCAATTTCTTTTAATTGAAAACACTGCGCCAGAACTATTTCAAAACAACTATGTTTGATTTTTTCACAAAGTTCCAATTAAAATTTGAACTTGGTGTTTAAGATAAATTTTTTCGCATCAATTGACGAAATTTATAACCTGCTGTAAAACAAATACCCAAACTTACATATTAATAAAGAATCTTGAAACATAGCTTTATTCTAAGACATTTTATAAACAACTTGTGAAAATTTCAAGGTAATTCGATGTCTTGGTAATAAGTTGAATCATTTTAAAATTTATCGCTTAATAATAATACAATAGGACATTTTAAATATTAGCTTTAATAATCAATAAAATGCCCAAGGTATCCAAACAAAAGCTTAAAACACGTAAAGCTGCTCAAGCATCAGTGGATGCACGAAAGGATGCTCAACGTAAAAAACAAATTAATGATATCAATCAAGCATTACTACAAATGAATAATGATGAATTGCAGTTAATTTATCAAAATATTGTACAATCGACTGATGACAATAAAACAAACCAAAGAACGTTTCAAAAATTGATCAATACAATTGAACAACTACCTGAAGATCAATTAAAATCTGCGATTAATTTAATTGATGTTATGCGGTATTCCAAAGGACCAAATGAGGGTAAATTACTTTCACCTTACTTGCAGAATAAGGCTTTAAATTTCTTAAATTCTTCCCTTTATAAAGCGGGTCAAGATTCAAGTTCATTAATCCAGTATAATAAAGAATTACAAAAAAATGTAGATCAGTTAGAGCGTTTGAACGCTAAAAAAGACCATACAATCAGTTATTTGTCGGGAACATTATCTCAATATATTTGTAAACAAAAACAGCACATTTCAAAAGTGCGTGCCGCTGCCCGTAAACCTTTACCTGTAGATCCACAAAGTTTAAAAGCAAGCATATTAGCGTTAGTTAAGAAAAACAAAC